CTTTCCAGCAATATTATATGAGGCTGTCTCAGAAAGCCTTCGTAGTATGTAGTTCGGAATAAGTGGGGATGTTGTGTTTGAAGCAGTACAGAAGGAATAAATTCCTTTAACGTAATACTAGCTCCGTCTATCATGTACGCAATCTACAAAAGTAAGAGCTTGAGTTTCATTTCAAAAACCTTATAAACTGACTACAGCAAATAGTCCCCACGTGGTCAGTTAGCTCCCCTCTCTACTGAATATAATGCATGATGGTTGGTTGTCCATCACAAACTAACTGACTTTGAAGACCGGATACTCGATCCTCTAGAAAAAAACTGAATGGTGGCAGAGGGTTACACCCACCGACCGAGTAACTGGCTGTTAAAAACTGTTTTTAATTTCCAGAAGTTAAGACATGTGCCTTAGGTCTCCCTCTTGAGTCCCAACAATAGCCGAACAGTGGCGCGTAATATAGGCAGGATATTGATGTCGACGAAAACGAGGGAGACTGGACTGGCCATTTCTGGTTTATTGGCCGTCGTCAGCCAGTCATAACCAAACCAGAAGTGAGCAAAACCTGGGGCTCGATTACGCGATCTGTTAGATTGGTAGTTCAATGCCAACAGTCCCAGGACACAAAAGGATGGGTGAGTTCGGTAACGCGAACGGCGAACGTCCCTCTATCATTGTATATGCCCGATCGCAACCGACAGGACAACGAGCCCGTGGTTCAGCGGTTGGGGCGTTGGACTTCTAACCAATACGCTGAGGAATCGAACCCCAGGTATTGCCCACATCGGGGTTCGATATGGCTGGCCGACGACGGCTAATAAGCCAGAAATGGTCATTGCAGTCTCCCCTGTCTTTGTTGGTGATGCCAACTCTTGCACTATAGTCGGAATAAACGTGAGAATCTCACTTGCATGCAACTGAGAAGCGCTGATAATAGTCGACAGAGCAGGAGCCTATGGCCGAGCGACAGAACGCGCCTTCATGTATCAGGTGTGTCCTGCCCAAGGTCTGGGGTTTTTCGCCAGATCTTGAGATAAGATAGGTCAACGGCAGCAAATAAGCCAGAAGGTAGGCATTCCGATGTCCATTCTCTTGTTCGGTAATGCTTATTGAAACGGCGATCCGGCTATTCTGTCGGAAATAGAGGGCTAAAAGATGCTTTCTGGGTAGAAAAGTTTTAGACGTTTGCATATCTCCCATCTCATTGGGCGAAATTGTTGCATAGTTTCGAAGGAAGTACAACTGTCCGGCCGCAACGAGCGACAACTTCCACTATGTGCCTCAGGGCCTGGGCACAGCATCGGTGACCTACAAGTTAATTAGTTCATGATGAGATGGACTTGCACACATCCACTACATTCTCTCTTCCTTTACGCACCAGCAAGATAAAGCCATGACAACCGGACTGACGAAATAGTGAATTTATGGAGTACTTGCTTGGAGAAGCGTTCAGGAAAGAAGAGTGGAGGACTTCAACCGAAATATGGCTGATTTCATTAGTGAGACGATATCTCTACACATAGCCGTCATAATAATAATTACATTCCGAGCTTAGTAATGCCGAAATAACGAATTATTCCGCAGAGCTATGCTAGAACAGGGCTGTGAACGGTTTCTGTTCAACCTTTGTCTAACGGTATTAGAAGGCAGGCTCTAAGAACGGTCTTGTTAAACAAATTTGACCTAATTTACAAAAGACGATAAAAGAGACGGTGCCAGTGGAATAGGATGACGTTTCAGCCGAGGTACATACCGAGTAAAGGTTCACATTTACTTATGAGCGTATTGCAGTCTGACAGATGGGTCCTTCTTTTCTGTCATGATATCACTTCTAATTGTCAGCCCTCCTATGTCTCCCGCGCGGCAAGCCAACCGACATGTGCATTAAAAGGGTCAAAATTTTTCACACTTAAATGAACTTTACGCGTTAGTAGTATATCATCGATATTTTTTAGTGTAGAAGCCAGAGACGCAGATCAGGTGACAAGGGCAAATCATGGTGTTCAAAATCAACACTGCTGTGCAGTCACTCGTTCATGCGCTCCGCTGAGTCGCAACTAAATCTCAAATCAACATGCCAACTAGAGTGATCCACTTGAAAAGTGCATACTAGGATTATTTGCGCCCTCCGCAGCGCACTTCGGGGTAAATGACGTAATTCCTCCGGAAGACCTATTACATGAGAATTAAAGCTTGGTAAAACACACGAATGAGCATTTACATCAACAGTAACAATAGCAGGTGGCATTCCACCCAGAGCGCTAGACTCGAAAGGCCCGGCAGTAAAAGTATCCTCAAAACTCAACAATCGGTAGAATTTATTTGCGTCATTAAACTAGACCATTCATCACTGTGGGTATTTTGCAGTTCGGCAGTGGTAGGGTGAAGGACCCCAATTAATTGTCGATGGACTGTATGTCGTGTAATATGGAGTTTTATGTTGACATCCACTTGCAGGCCGATGCAGACATTGTACTGCCAACAACAATTACTTTCCATGACCTCAAACCATCACTCAAGGTCCGTTATTTTTTGAAAACTTGTTGCGTGTTTATTTTTTAAATTAAGGCGCCCATTTCGGTTGCCATA